CTATTCGACTATTTCTTTTTTGTCTGAATAAAACAGAATTAGGTATCAGTGTTAGTTGTGAGTTACACTGACTTCAAAATGTAACAAAAAATTATTTGCAACATATTTTACGGTAAATAAATCTATAGTGTCGATTCACATATTTTTCACTTGTCTTAAACAAGTCAGTTCTTTTCCTGATTGTCCTGAACCCTTTTTCTGAAAATCACACTCCGTTCTATACTATTACTTTCATCCGTTTGATTTATTTACTCTAATATATTAGTTACTTATCATTATTACCTGTGAAGATATTTCTTCTAGATATGTAACCCAGAAGAAAACCAATTATTTTTTAGGTAGATTTCTTCGTAACAAATACAAGTTACGGAAATTAGAACAACACATATAAGCGAACAATATTGTTTTCGATTAGATGGACCACTAAATGAAACTATTCAGAAACTTGATCTATATTGCCGTTATGTCGATGACACATTCATCACTGTAGATCAGGACATCAGAAAAGAAAAACTCTTAGCTAACATGTACACCCGGCAATCACGTTCACTGGTGAAGAAGAATACGACAAGAAACTGAGTTTCCTTGACATCACACTAAGTAGACGTAATGATGGTTCACTAAGTAGAAGCGTGTATAGAAAAAATTCCAGTGCTTTCCAATACACTCACTTTTGTAGTTTTACACCTATCCGCTACAAAAGAAATTTGGTTAGATGTCTCACTAACAGAGCAAATATGATTTGTTCAGTGGATACCTTAAGTCAGGAGCTGGAATTCATCGACGACTCACTAACTGAGATTGGTTATCCCAGCGCATTCATAAAGAAGTATATGTCTGCCGTAAAAAAGAAGTCGGTGGTTTCGACCGCCCAAAAGAAACCTTTATTTATAAAATTACAATTCAACGGGGATGTGGCGTGCGATACTCTGCAGGACAGATTAATAAGAGCAATTAACAGAACATTCAACGCTGCCAAACTAGCATTGACTTTCTCCTGTCGACCAGCGATATCTACCCATACGAAGGATAAGTTACCTGAGTTGGCCTCCTCTATGTGCATTTACAAATTCAGCTGCTCCTGTGGAGATAGCTATATCGGGTATACTTCCAGGCAACTTAACCAACGAATGAGTGAACATCTCCCAGCATGGTTTAAGAAGGGTCAGTCAAAAATAATACGCAATTCGATCTTAGCACACCTGGTAGATAGTGGTCATATTGTAGATAAATCTAGATCTTTTCGGGTGATCTATCGTATACCTCCATCATTTCCCAACGAAGTTCGATCCCGCCTCTTACACATTGAAGAAGCCATAGGAACATGTATATTCAACCCTAATTTATGAGTTCGGAAGAACTTCGTGACACCCCTATCTCTTTCGTGGCCGGATATGACGCAACTAACGCTTGACATTGTATTTTTTATTTTATTTTATTTTTACACATTTGCTTATTACATAATGTTTTTGATGTTTTTTGATGATTATTTGAATTCTATTCATCCACCTTTGACCTACTTTAGTTATCATATTTTACAAATTTTCTTACTACTATCAGTACACCTGTTTTCCTATTATCCACCTGAACTTTTGCCTATTAGATGTAGTTACGTAATCTTTTTCATTTCATTGTGGTTATCACTCAAATTGCCTTGATTGGTTTAACATTTTCATATAAATATTCATGTATATTAGAGTAAAGCCTGATGACGATCTAATCGAAAACAATATTGTTCGCTTATATGTGTTGTTCTAATTTTCACAAAGGGAATCTTTAAAATGATTATTTTTTGTCTGAATAAAAAGGATTACGTATCGGTGTTAGCTATAAGTTACACTGACTTCAAAATGTACAAATTATTTGTAACATATTTAACAGTAAATACCTAAACCATGTCTATAGAGTCGATTCACATGTTTATCGCTTATCTTAGACCAGTCAGTTCTCTTCTTGATTGCCCTGAACCCTATTTCTGAAAATCACACTCTGTTCTGTACAATTATTTTTTTTGACAAATGAAGAAAAACCAAATATCATCTACAAAATAAATTGCTCAAACTGTGAAAAACACCACATAGGACAAAGTGGACGACCTCTTCAGCTCCGTTTACGTGAACATCAGTTAGCAGTCAAACGCCACGACAACGCTTCGCTTATGTCAATACATACCGACAACTATGGACACACATTTGATTGGAATAACGTGGAAATACTGGGTAGGGGGAGGACAAAGAACACTAGAGAATTTTTAGAAGCTTGGCATTCAGGTCAATTAGCAATCAATAACACACATCGACGTTGCCCCAATCTATCAACCAATCAGGAGAATCATAGGTGACACTGGATCAAGAAACAGATCAAAAGAGGGAGGCAATCAAAACATAGTTGCAAACAACGAGAGTTCAGATGTCAACAACAACCAATAAAGATGGAGGTTAGCAGAACAAGCTACAGGTCAAACGTGGAGAGATTCTAATGCTTCACTTCTATCTGAAAATCATGCTGATGATGTTGTTAAGGAGAACAATGAAAGCTCCACAACCAAAACAACCAGATCAGAGAACGAATCACCACCACAATTATTTTTATCCGTTTGACTCATGTACTCTCATATGTTAGTTAGTTTTCAGCCGGTCAAACAAAGGTTACAATATTACAGCAACTATCAGTTATTATCTTCAGGTAGACAACTATTCACTATTTCAATTTTCACTTCCAACTTGATCAAAACCAAGTATAAATCCATTAGCGTACAAAAAAATAAAATTGAATTACTGAAATATTATAAGTAGAATGAAAATTTAAGTCAAATTAGATTACAATGATAAGAAATATGAACTAAACTACTAGCATTATTCACCTTCTGAATAGCATATACTCTAAAGTGGTTTAAATTTGATAAATTTGTATCAAAAAGGTACGAAATTTTATCTCAGTAAGAATATCTCTAACCTGACCAACACTCATGATGATCACCATTAGCAAGTAGACGAAGTGAAATCGATTACAACTCAATGATTGAACATTATGTCGACATCTCCATCCTGCAGAACAATAATCTTGGAGAGATAACTTCAGAGTCACAGTCTAATTTCATAGTAGAGTAATATGAGCTGGTATATCACGAAGAATGTAAGATCTTGGAGGACTGCGACTACGAATTACTGATATGTGACAATCAATATAAAACCAAAGTTCGCTGACTGACTACAGTGTTTAAAACAGTGAAAAATGATTTAAAACGAGTCTACATACATTTCAAAATGTTACCGAAATAACTGGGTGGTAACCTTAAATTACACTGAATCATAAAAACCTACCATTAACAAAAACCAATACATATACTTTCCACATTTCAATGTGTGAATAATCGAATTCCTGTATCAAACATAGTTTAGAAACATTTGCATTCTGATCATTGGAAACCGTAATTTAAATGAATATTTATTATTGAAGTCATGAATGGATATTTTATGGATAACCATTAGAAACCTGCAAGTACTGGACATCCGTTTCGTTTAAGGTAGCGACTCATCAGCAGTGAACGCTTCAGACCTCGTCATCACGAATAAAACCAAGCACTTTTAGTCTCATGCGTGAATGCCTAGCCTCTTGACTATTGGGTCGTTATTCAAAGGTATCATTGTTTACCTCCAATTAATTCATGATACTGCACGAACATCACCTGTTGTTTTCGTTGAGTAACTGCATTCCACCTGACACGGATTGAACTCGAATGGTCATAGCTTCTCACTATAACTCTGAGAAGTTTCTCAGGAAGATACTCACTGGTGAGCACATAACAATAGCCAGTATTGGGTTAGGGAGATCATTGGAACCCACACTAGGATGAAACAGCCGTACAGTGCTTCCAGATTTCTAGTGGTGGTTAAACACGGACCAGTCCATGCTTTCAATAAAATTCAACAATCTTCACAAGCCTATACTGACCAATATACTTGAGCAATAATTTTTCAGTAGTTTCACTGTATATTTATAAACCTATGTGATCTTATGGCCGTAAATTGACAATCAATATTGCTAAGAAAGCTCCTCGTTGTCATCATATAAATTATATTATACGGAATCCTGGTAATGCTTTCAAGTTTTAATCGATCTCGGAAAACGTGGTACAGTAGACACAATAGTCAGCATATTTTGATAAAATAACGAATATCGTTAATTTGATCTTCCCGTTTGGTTAAGATATTCTTTAATCATTTTTTCACAGTACTAGTCATTTACAGTGCTTCTAAAAGGGTACTATTCGTGTCATGTATTCATGTAAACTCTCATTAAATTTTTAGAATGATTTTTATTATTTACCTCATGAAGTACTCCCTTTGTAAGAACAACTCAAGTTCAGATAAAATTGCTAAAGTTAATGAAAGCACAATTTTTTTCGATAAACTGAATACACTTATCTTTTAATTATTTGTTTACATCTGCTGCTTGTTTTGTAATCTAACATAGATAAACCAATCAGAGGTGGCCGAACCAGAAGGTCATTTGATGATAATTATAAATGTCCTACAGGACAAACATTTATCATTGGTTAAAAGATGAAATCATTTTCTAACAGAAAGGGAAGTATATTTAAATGAGTTTTCATGTTTATTATTCGGTATCCAATTATAGTTTCTCCCTAACTCTTGACTTCTCGCTCAAATAGCCAGTTTTGAGAGTTAGCGTGTATCACGTTCGGATCTCAAACGTTGTATGCTACGACAAAATCCTAGCTGGTTGTAGTCTGTATTCTCTTGTTCCATTTCAGGTCTCCGAGGCATTTCAAATACGTCATTCTCTTGACCTCCTTAAACTATTATTTTTAGCTATCAACTGTAGCAACTTCCAGGCGATTCTTCACTCCTTACCAATTAACAGCCATTCACTATACTTCATCGAACGAACAGAAAAATGATGGGTAATCCTTAACATTGAACAATGTATGAATTCAAATGACTAAGATTTTATCTCAATAAAAATTCTAGAAGTGAATGAAATCAATGTTTTTTATCAGCGAACTACGTCTCAAATTCAATTACCTAAAGCTTGATTATCATTGGTCTACTTTGATGGATTCACTTACATCTGACCTTGACAGGTGTGTATTTGATCAATAATTCGATAAAACAATGAATCATCACGTGGTTTTTTTACACGTGCGCTATTCAAATGCAGTTTAGATGACGTCAGACTTGGTGAATGAAGCATACCAGAAAAAATTTAAAAAATAACGATTTTTCTTTTTCTTTCTAGAATTTTTTCCATAACTAAGATTACATTGATTTTTTTTTCATTGAAAAAATCAATTTTACATGAAGACGCTGAAGTTTTATATTGTCAATTAACTTTAAAAAGTATAGTTAATATGAGAATCACTATTGTTTTCTACTTTCTAATAGACAGTTGTTAAAGGTAGGTACTGTCTATGCTTAATTCAATCGAGGCGCTTTTTGATATGTTTTTCACTTAGATCGTCATCAAACTTTACTCTCTAAAATCAATGATTATTTATATGAAAAATGGTTTAAACCAATCAAGGCAGTTTATTATGAGTCAATAATCACAATGACATAGAGAATACGTAACTGCACAAATTAAGTAAAAAGTATTAGTCGATAATATGAAAGAGAGGTGTACTATTGGTAGTGGTCGTGTGGTGCGAGCTACTTATAAGTAGTATATAACGTGAGTGTCAACGTAATGTCTGGCAGCAGAAGATGGGGAAAGATCAAGAAAGGAAGAGTGGGAACACAATGGAATTTGTATGAAACGAATGAATAGTGACAATGGATTGATGTTTTGCAACAGGTACAGTCTAGTTCGATATGATGAACTGATTTCTTACAAATTAATGATTTACGATATGGTTTTCCAATTTTACTGAGTAGCTCTGTAATTTTCATTAAATACAATCCGGCTGTCCCACCTGTGTTCTCGTTTACTACAGTATGAATAATAAAATACAATTAGAAAGGTTTTTGTCAATAGTTTAATATTGGAATTAGTCTTAGGTCAAGCTTAGATAGATAGACTTCAAATAATTATTACAAAGCTCTATTAATGTGTATTTACAAAGTCAGTTGCACCTGTGGAGATAACTCTATCCAGCTTACTATCTAATAACTTAACCAACGAATTAAACAACATTTCCCAGCATAGTTTGAAAAGGGCCATTTACAGACAATACTTAGCTCTGTCTTAGCACACCTGATCGATGGTGGACATAAAATGGGTAAAACAAAATCATTCCCAGTGATCTGGCGAAAACTTCCATCATTTCCCAATGGATTTTGATCCCTTCTCCTAAACGTGTAGCAAAAGCCATAGGAATAAAAACAATCAACCCCAGTTTATATGTTCTGACGAAATTCATGACACCCTCTGTCCCCGTTCTCTGGCCAAATATAACTTTATAAATGATTTGATTTTATTACTATTGTCATTATTTTTTACATCCTGTATTTGTCTGTAATTCTATCGCCCCCTTCCGTTCATATTCTTCTTCATTATCTAATGATTTACAAACTTCTTATTACGTAATTCTATTTGTGTTTTGTGATCATTGTTTTAAGTCTGTTCATCACAGATTTACCTACTACTACTACTACTACTACTACTACTACTACTACTACTACTACTACTACTACTACTACTACTACTACTACTACTACTACTACTACTACTACTACTACTACTACTACTACTACTACTACTACTACTACTACTACTACTACTACTACTACTACTACTACTACTACTACTACTACTACTACTACTACTACTACTACTACTACTGTGGTGCGCGCTACTTATAAGTAGCATATGACGCGAGTGTAAACGTAATGTCTGGCAGCAGAAGATGGGGGAAGATCAAGAAAGGAAGAGTTAGAACACAATGGAATTTGTATGAAACGCATGAATAGTGAAATGTCAGACAATGGATTGATGATGGATTGAAGATTTGCAATATGGTTTTCCTATTTTACCAATTAAATCTGTGTTCTCGTTCACTACACTACTACTACTACTACTACTACTACTGCTACTACTCACTGCTACTACTTCCACTGCTACTACTTCCAATCTCGAACTACTAACAAAATGACTTTTGTTATTGTATTTCTTTAGGCTTACCAACGCTAATAGTACACCTGCTTTCCATTGTATCAACTAGTACTTTTACCTATGATGTGTAGTTACGTCATTTACTTGATTGTATTGTCTTCTTTATTTTAACAATTTCATAATAATCGTCATTGATATTACCATAGTGAGTGTAATTTTCATTGAAGATCTTTTAGATCCATTCTTTAAATGATTCATATAAACTAAGTGTGGAAACTTGAGCTAACATAATTTTCCGGTACAAATTTGTTTCTGTTAGGATATTCATCCACCAATTATTGGTCAATTCCTATTGGTTAATTCCTACTGGTCAAGTTTATGGTCGTCCTAGATATCAATTTCACGTGCTCCAATCTTGTTTCTTATTGGTTGTCCTGACTATCCATGTCACTTCAAATGTTGCTCCCTAGTGGTCGTCTTAACTGTCAATGCCATAGAATTCGATTCCGTTTCCTATTAGACCAAAATGTATAAAACGCATTATCTGTAACGTTTTATGACCAGGACCAGGACCCGGTCCAGGATCCCTAGTCTGGGATCATGATTCTCTTCTGGATTCGGACCTCGTACTTTTTGGATGCTTGTAGAATACAGATCCTACTTCATATCAAGTTTTCTTATTTCTTACTGAATATAGGGTTTGGGATAATTGGATTTGAATAGTATGTCGTGTCGCCGGATCCTCGATCCTCGCTCTCGCGTTTCCGACTAGGTAAACTCGTAATAGTTCAAGCATATCAAGTTGACGTGTTTACGTGTAGGCGTAACAGTTTCTACTGTCACAACAGAAGAATGAAAATAAACGTGTGCAATAAGCATCTTAATTGGCCAGAGCTGATCGAAAATTCTAGTCAAAGTTTTACACATATTTTTTAGCGATGAGAATACAAAAGATGACTGAAGATTTTTTGAAAAGATACACAGTTGCCTAACTTTAATGTCACTGAAATACTCAAACAGAAGCATTGGATTTCTTGGCATCTTTTTCTATTTGTTTGTCCCGTGATACGGACTGTTAAAAAAAACACAAGTCAAGACTTTTCTCTACAATTTCAATGTATACTAATGAGATGTCTGTTGCTGTATTCTGGAGTCTTCCGCAGTTATTCACCAGTTTTGATCAGCTAGAAATGGGCTAGTCAATGTGCTTCCAAATAACCCAGCATAGAAAATGCTTTGATACAAACCATAATTTACTAACAAGTGTAGTTCACAAAGAAAAATAAGCTACTTTGTCACCTGTCAGTAGATGGTCGGTTGTTTATTATTATTGAGAACTCAATAGATAGAAACGGGTGAAGGTACTGGCTAATGATTTAGGTTAGGAGTAAGGTTTCGGTTCAGAATAAAAGATCGTTTTGTGGATATAATTATGGATAGTGTAGGATATAGTCAACTGAATTAGGTAGGATCTTTTAAACTTTAAGGTTAGTTTGGTAATCCTATAAGTTGTGTGAAAATATGAATCACATACTTCTATTTGGGTTCTATAATTTTATTTTAGTGAGAGAAGAATCAGGTCTCATTGTTGTTTTAAGCATGGCTTAACTCTTTCCGTGTTGTTGGTTTTGTTAATATGTGTTGTAGAAACTAAATTATGATAGGTTCTATTCAGTTCATACACATCTCTTAAAATGTCACATTAATTAATTTTGAATTTCGCGCCAAAATCCGCAAAGCGAAATCTTAAATCTGATTGGTTTGTTGACAAGATTATGTTTTCGTTAAAATAAGAGTACTATAGTAGCTTTAAATTCAAAACAGATATATTCTCAATGCCAAGAGGTTTTTAGAGATGACTAACTTTGACCATTCACAAAATAAACTAAACTGAATTAGACCATTGGATTAATGAATCACTGTTTATATATTCAATGTTCGAAAGGTTAGGCAATCATTTTGAGATTTCAAGGCTCCTTGCTCGACTCTCTGTGAAGTCGAAGGTGTACAGTACTAGGGTTTTTATATACGAGGACAAAAAAACCATTGAAAACATTGTTTCCAAAATGGTGTTTAAAAGTGTACTTTCTAAACAGTGGAAGATCTGTTTGGTTAAAACGTAAAAATTATCAGATTTAAAAAAAATAATAATATCTACTACACTGACAGTTTTGATCATTTACTGTACACAGTGTAAATCCTTATCAGGTTACACTCTCTTTAGTCCGAATCTGAAACAATAAAAATTGTGAAGCAGTGCCCACAGAAGCAGATCTATGAGGTTGAAAAAACATTGTGGACTGATTGATGTTAGACACTAACACCGTCTAGGGGCTAAGCGTTCACATGAGACTGAGAATCCTGGGTTCGATTCCCACGTGCGAGGGTCATGGATGTTCACTGCTGATGAGTCTCATACGAGAATGAAACAGCCGTCCGGTGCTCTCAGGCTTCCAATGTTTATCTAGCACTGATCGATTCGCGATTTAAATGAAACCTAACAAACTCCACTACTATGTAATGAAAAAAATTATTTCTTAGTTTTCATCTAGGTTAAATGATCATGTGATTCAACGCAACAGAAAATGCAACTCATTTAAAAAAAAAACCTTACAAACTTGCTGATCATTAAAACAAACAAAATAACTAGAGTACGTTCAACCAATCTGTGTGCATACATATATGTGTCTATGCACTGAAATGTCTGTTCACTTTTAATCAGTACAAGCTAATGATTAGATAGATAGATGTTTGTCATTGAATTCATCATTCAACAATACTTTACAAATGGATGAAATTTTTCGTGCAATATATGTATCAATGATAATTCATTTCCAGTGTTCATTTATTTCCCAATAAATCGATAAACTCATTCATTAAACAAAGCGTGATATTTTGTACAAAACAAAAAAAGGCAAATCTCATTCTGTTGAAGCAAATGTTGAGATAATTTGATCTATGCTGGATACAACATTATTATTTTGATTAATTAATTAATTAATTAATTATGAAGAGTAAAAAGAATCCGGTAAGTATGAATTTTTTCTGTTTGATAAAGTGAGATTTTCTTGTGTATATTTTTATACTCTTAACATTTTCATCATTGTGAATCTACTTTCTATTTGTGTTTATTTATACGCTACATTTTTGAGTCCTCATCGATATTCATTCCCTCAGCGTGTAAGATCATGGTGTAGGATGTTATGAGTGAATTTATGTAATAAAGATGGAAATCCCCAAAAAGTATCTGTGTGTTTTACAGCCATAGTTATAATCTGTTAGCTAATGTTTAAATCTGAAAAAATACCCTGTATTAATAACAGATTTTGGTTAGACAGTAATTGAAAAGAAGGGCATATTAGAAAACTGCCTTATACTTTCATGTTTTCAATGGTCGTTTAATTGAAGTCAATTCATGAAATCTGTATTGAATAGTTCAGTGAAGAAACCTACTAAATTTGAATATGGTGACAAGTCAGCAGTGGCATTAGTTTGGTCTTACAATTTCGAAACAGCATTTAAAACAGTCTGTATATTTGAAATGATGAATCAATCAATGTTAGACCACCACTATAAACCTACAAGCACTGGAATGTTTTTTCATTCTAGTGTGTGACTCATTAGTAGTGCGCATCCGTGACCCCCTCGTGAGGGAATCCAACATAGAACCTTTGATCGCGCGCGTGAACACTCAACCTCCAGACCGGTCAATTCATTGTTTCAATAAAACTCCGTAATCTTCACGACTATCTAATGAAAATTTTATATATACACTGAAAGTAATTTAAGTTGACATAGATTACTTATTCTTGGCCAATTAACAGTTTTCGAATATTAATATCGGTATTTAGTCTCATCTATTTCAATTGTATGTTTAAGTTAAAGAGGTACAATTTCCACTGAAAAAAATTGCGTGTTGAACATGTTTCAACATGTTTTTTTCATCTTATGATAACCAAAACGAAAGTTTCTGGAGAATTTTTGAACACATAGTTTAACCTAGAAATCCCATAGTCGAAAAGAACAAAACACACTGCATCAGACTAAAAAATCGGTAAGAATGGCTGGAGGTGCATAGGACATACATTGAGGAAAACACCAAAGTCTATCACGCCACAAGCCCTTATTTGGAGTCCTCAAGACAAAAGGAAAAGAGGAAGACCAAAGAACACACATTACGCCAAGAATTGGAGACAGACATGGAAAGAATGACCAGCGATTGGTTTGAACTGGAAAGGGAGGCTCAGAACAGAGTAGGTTGGAGAATACTGATCGACTACCTATGCTCCATTAGGAGTAACAGGCATAATTCTCACTTCACTCAGTTCAGATCCACACATAATAAATGTATCTCGATTACAATTTACATGTAATTGTAATCTGCTAGTCAAATATTGAATTTTTCTTAACAAGACAATATAAATTAATCGAAATTGATATTCAAGAAAAGTAACATTGAAGCTTATTGTCGGATACTTATCAATGATGACATTTTATTGTCTAATACTTTCTGGCTTACAGTGGTCGTCTATCTGATATTATTTCATACATTGTACATTGTCTACAAATTGAACGATCTCTACAAAAGAAACTTGCTGATGAGTTTATTAACTTTCTCCTTATTTCTGACAGTTCTTTCTGAGGTATATTGATAATTTTCACAGAGAGTGAAGTCAAGACCTTTTTCAATACTATTGTAAGTAAAATGTGAATTACATGGAT